GCGGGGCCTGGGGAGCCGCCCCCCCCCAGAATTGCAGCTCCTCTCCCGACGACAGAGGCCAGTGCCCCCTGGAGAATAAGGGCTGCTTTGGAGGGTGGGCTCTGTGGCCTTCTGCCCCACTGTGGTTCCTGCCCCACTAAGGTCCCCACAGCTGTCCTCCCCCAAATCTCCAGGACTTTCCAGCCTCCATCCGGCAACTCTGCCCCCCCTCCCATTCCCCTAGGGACGCCAGCCTCCAGGGGGGACCTGGGCGGTCCCCCAGAATTACAGCTCATCTCCAGACGACAGAGGTCAGTTTCCATGGAGGAAATGGATGCTTCGGAGGGGGGGCTCTGTGGCCTTCTGCCCCACTGTGGTTCCTGCCCCACTAAGGTCCCCACAGCTGTCCTCCCCCAAATCTCCAGGAGTTTCTCCAACCTGGATCTGTCAGCCCGACCCCCACGTCCCCCTAGGGATGCCAGCCTCCAGGGGGGACCTGGGCGGTCCCCCAGAATTACAGCTCATCTCCAGACGACAGAGGTCAGTTTCCATGGAGGAAATGGATGCTTCGGAGGGTGGACTCTGTGGCCTTGTACCCCACTGGGGTCCCCACCCTGCCTAGGCTCCATCCCCAAAATCTCCAGGTATTTTTCAACCCAGAGCCGGCAACCCGATCCAGAGGCTTTTCTCTTTCCCGGGGGTTAGGGTAGGGATGCCAACCTCCAGGTGGGTGGGACCTGGGAATCCCTTGGGATTACACCTCATCTCCAGATGACAAATATCTGCCAGTTTGGTGTAGTGCACGGTCTCTAATCTGTGAGAACCGTGTTTGATCCCCCACTCCTCCACTTGCACCTGCTGATGTGACCTTGGGTCAGTCACAAGCTCTGGCACAGCTGTCCTTGAAAGAGCAGTTTGTGTCAGAGCTCTCTCAGCCCCACCCACCTCACAGGGTGTCTGTTGTGGGGAGGGGAAGGGAAAAGGAGTTTGTGAGCCGCTCTGAGACTCCAGGTAGTGAAGGGCGGGGTATGAATCCAATCTCCTCCTCTTCTCTTGAGAAAAGGGATGCTTTGGGGGCTGGATTCTGAACAGTATGGTGCCCGTCCTCCCCAGGCTCCATCCCCAAATCTCTGTGAGTTTCCCAGTCTGGAGCTGGTAATTCTACCCTTCCGTCCCCCACTGGTGGCCAGGGAGCATCCGGCAACCCTGGCAGTAGGGGAGAAGCCAAGAAAACGGGAGAGGCACGAGAGGGCTGTTGGGCGCTGGGGAGAATTTGGGGGCAAGGTGGAAGGTGAAGAAGAGGGGCCTTGGCAAGCGGGTGGAGAGGACGGAAGGCGAGCGTCCCTGGGGGCAAGGCTCCCTCTAAGCTGTGGCGTCCTGTGAGCACAAACTCTACTGCAAAAACTCTACTTTGTGAGCTCCTGGCATGAAAGCTGTGAGCGAGCCATTTGGCTGCTGCATCAGTTAATCTGCTCTGGAGCCCTCCTTCCTGAACGAAGGCAAAAATGTGCGAGCCGGAGGCTAAAAAAACGTGAACTAGCTCACACTAACTCAGCTTAGAGGAAACATTGCCTGGGGGTGTTGGGAAGGCGCAATAGGCCCGAAGAGGAAGATGAGGAAGAGTCAGCGGGGTGGGGTGGGGGGACAAGGTGGCACAAGAGCCAGTCGGGGACCGGAGAGCCGGTAGGGGGGCTCTCAGAAGCCGGAGGGTGACCTAGTGCTGTTTGGAAGGGGCCAGGTGGCTGGTTACAGAGGGTTACCAGGTGTTCTCTTTTCAGAGGACATGTCCTCTTTTTTTCGATTCTGTCCTTTTTTTGGTTGTTTTTTTTTAAAAAAAAACAGATGAAAATGTCCTTTTTTTGGGTAGGAAGGTTAGGAATTTTCCTAGTGGCAAGTATCACAGCTTAAATGGGAGCAGAGTTTAAAATGAGATTAGTGGTAGTGTTCCCTCTAAGCTGAGTTAGTGCAAGGTAGCTCACAGTTTTTTCTCCTCCGGCTCACACATTCCTGTCTCCGCTCAGGAAGGAGGGCACCGGAGCAAACTAATTTATGCAGGAGCCAAATCTCTCGCTCACAGCTTCAATGCCGGTAGCTCACAAAGTAGGATTTTTGCTCACAGGACTCCGCAGCTTGGAGGGAGCATTGGTGAGCACTTGTTTGATGCGGTTGGTCGGGAGATACGTCCTCTTTTTTTTTGCTCTTTGAAATATGGTAACCCCAGGGTGGCACAAAATCTCCTCCCCCCATGCTCCCTCTAAGCTATGGGGCCTTGTGAGCAAAACCTCTACTTTGTGAGCTCCTGGCAGTGAATTCACTGCCACAGGAAGTGGTGGCGGCTACAAGCATGGACGGCTTCAAAAGGGAATTAGATAAGCATATGGAGCAGAGGTCCATCGGTGGCTATTAGCCACAAGGTATAGATAGGGACTCTGGGGCAAGTGATGCTCTGTCATCTTGGTGCTTGGGGGGGTCAACAGTGGGAGGGCTTCTAATGTCCTGGCCCCACTGGTGGACCTCCTGATGGCACTGGTATTTCTGGCCA